CTCTTGCTCAGGCTGGTCTCGAACTCCTGAGCTCAAACAATCCGCCCGCCTCAGCCTCCCGGAGAGCTAGGATTACAGGGGTGAGCCACCGCGCCCAGCCTGGGGGACTAGCTTTTAACTAGATGCCATTACCATTTCTTTTTTTTTTTTAAAGTTATTTTTAATTGGCAAATAATCATTGTATATTATTTATTTATGGCGTACAATGTGATGTTTTAATGTACGTTTACCTTGTGGAATGATGAAGCCATGTTCGTTAGTAAATCCATCACCTCACATACTTACCATTTTTTTGTGGTGAAAGCATTTAAAGTCTACTCTTTTAGTAATTTAAAAATACACAACGCATTGTTATGTATTATAGTCGCCCTGCTGTGTGATAGATCGCTAAGGCGTATTCCTCCTGTCTAACTGAAATTCAGTACCCTTCGATCGGCATCTCCCCTCTCCGCAGCCCCCGTAACCCCCGTTCTACTCTCTGCCGCCGTGAGCGCGACTGTTAGGTTCCACACACAAGTGAGATCCTGCGGTGTTTGTCCTTCTGTGCCTGGCCTAGCTCATTTGACATAACGCCCTCCAGGTTCATCCGTGTTGTCACGAATGACAGGACTTCCTTCTTCCTTGCTGCTGAGTGGTAGTCCATTGTGTCATACCCCACACTTTCTTTTCCCGTTCACCCGCTGAGGGACACCTAGAGTGGTCCCGTATCTTGGCTCTTGTGACCAGTGCTGCGGTGAACGTGGGAGTGCGGGTCTCTCTTTGCGACGCTGCTTTCAATTCCTTTGCGTACTTGCCCAGCAGTGGGATTGCTGGGTCATAGGGTAGTTCTCTTTTTAATTTTTGGAGGAAAAAAATTTTCCCTAATGGCTGTACTAATTTATATTCCCACCAGCAGTGCACAAGGGTTCCCCTTTCTCCTCATCTTCACCCACACTTGTTGTCTTTGGTGCTAGCCATCTTCACAGGAGTGAGGTCAGATGTCACTGTGGTTTTGGTGTACATTTCCGTGACGATGAGCATTTTTTCATGTACCTGCTAGCCATTTGTTTGTCTTCTTTTGAGAAATATCTATTTATGTCCTTCTCCCATTTTTAATTGAGTTCTTCGTTTTCATGCTGTTGAGTGGTTTGAATTCCTTTATATGTTTTGGATATTAGCCCCTTATTAGATAGATGTATGGTTTGTATATACTTTCTCCCAATGCCACTATTACTTCTTAAATAAAGCATTCTTTTTTCATTTAAAGTAAAATGACACTATCTATACATTTTTGGATCTTTTTCAGGACTTGGGATTCTTTCTTTTCTTCCTTCCTTCCTTATTTCTCTCTCTCTCTCTCTTTTTGTGCTAAGAGCATACTGCCTTTTTATTACAGAAGCTCTAGAATAAGTATGACTATTTTCGTAAGTCAAGAACCTCAGTATTCTTATGTTTTGTTTTTCAAAACAGTATTTCCCTTTTTTAAAACATACATTCTTTCACATCAGCTTTAAGATAATTTTTGCCGGCCGGGCGCGGTGGCTCACGCCTGTAATCCTAGCACTCTGGGAGACCGAGGCCGGGAGGATTGCTTCAGATCAGGAGTTCAAGACCAGCCTGAGCAACAGCAAGACCCCGTCTCTATTGAAAATAGAAAAAAAATTAGCCAGTCAACTAAAAATAGAAACAAAAAATTAGCCGGGCATGGTGGCTCGCACCTTGTAGTCCCAGCTACTCGGGAGGCTGAGGCAGGAGGATCACTTGAGCCCAGGAGTTTGAGGTTGCTGTGAGCTAGGCTGACGCCATGGCACTCACTCTAGCCTGGGCAACAAAGTGAGACTCTGTCTCAAAAAAAAAAAGAAAAAAGATAATTTTTGCCAATTTCTAAAGCAAAACAAAAGCCAAACTCATTGTGATTCTCTTTGGAATTGCATTACACATGTATGTATGTTCATTTCTGAAGGCATGACATTTATGATATTAAATCTTATTCAGGAACATGGTATGTTACTTTATTTATTCATGACTTTTTATGTTCTTTAATAAGATTTATGCTTTTCTTTAGGTTGTCCTCTACTTTTCTTGTTAAATGTTAAAATCTTTTGCCCATTGGAAAATGTTTTTCCAAACTGAGCTGGAGTATTCTTCTGGGTAGAAATTCTGCATTGGATATGTGATTTGAAAATATTTTATCCTTGTCTGTGGCTTGTACTTTCATTATTTTAACGGAGTCTTTTCACGAGCAAAAGTCCTAATTTTGATTAAATCCAGTTTATCAGTTTTTTCTTTTATGAATCATGCTATTGTTGTATCTGAGAAATCTTTGCCTAATCCAAAGTCCCAAAGATCACGAAGACTTTCTTCTAAGAAGTTTTTAGTTTTAAAGTTTTATATTTAGGTCTGTGATTCATTTTGAAATGTTTTTGTCTATTGTGCAAAGAATGGATCAAAGTTCTTTTTTTTTTTTTGGCGTATGGGTATCCGACTGTTTCAGCATCATTTTTGAAAAGACTGTCCTTTCTCCACTGAATTATCTTTGCACTTTTGTTGCAAATTGGTTAACCATGTATGTGTGAATCTATTTTTGGTCTCCCTGTTCTATACCATGGTGGTTCTTCTGGTCCAGGAAGTGGCTTGGAACATGTGGGCTGGGAGGTGCCGTGAGCTCAGGAGAAAGTCTGTGCACCTGGGGGTGGCAGGGACAGAGAGAGATGAGAGTTTATGGTGACGGTTAAGAAATGACAATAATAACTATTTTCTCCTTAAGTCACTCAGTATCTCCAGCCCCATGGCATTTCATAGATTGAATTCAACTTTTCCGTAGACCACATGCAGTTAAAAAAAAAGAAAATAATTCAATAAATCTTTTATTATGATGTTACTTGAAAAGTAACAGGTGCCATGTGAATTATAATGAAACTTATGCTGTCTTTAGATGATACAACTATTTATTTTACGGAGATCTAAACAAGAAGTTGAAAAGCAACTGACTAAGAAATACGAACACGTATTAAAATGCCGTGTTTCTAATCGTCAGAAGGCCTTATACGAAGATGTTATACTCCAGCCACGGTAAGGCTTGGAACGAATGGGTGGAAATGGTGTGATGTGGTCTCTTTATTTCTCAATACTGATATATTCACTCATTCGTTACCCTTAACCCAGCGATCCCGTCTTTTTGGCACCAGGGACGGGTTTCACGAGAGAGAGTTTTTCCAGGGACTAGGGTAGTGGGTGGTTTCAGGATGATTCAAGCGCATTACATTGACTGTGCAGTCAGACCTCTCTGCTGATGATAATCTGCATTTGCAGCCGCTCCCCAGCGCTGGCATCAACGCCTCAGCTCCACCTCAGATCACCAGGCGTTAGGTTCTCATAAGTAGCAGCAACCTAGATCCCTCCCATGCAATTTACAGTAGGGTCTGTGCTCCTGTGAGAATCTAATGCCGCCGCTGATCTGACTGGAGGCGGAGCTCAGGCGGTGATGCGAGTGATGAGAAGCAGCTGTAAATGCAGATGAAGCTTCGCCCGCTCACCTGCCGCTCACCTCCCGCCGTGCCCAGGTTCCTAACAGGCCACAGACGGGTACCAGTCTGCAGCCCAGGGGCTAGGGACTGCAGCCTTAAATTGTGTTTATTAAGATTGCATTTGCAAAGTGTCTTTTCAGATTACATTCAAATTGAGGTTAAATATAAGTCATTTTTAAGCATCAATTAAGTAGGTTATTAAAAAATGAAGGAGCATAAAATAGCTCAAGATTAGCTATGTAACTCAAGAGCTCTTTTAAAGAGCATTAACATTAGGAATTAGTTGTATAAACATAACTCTATCAGTGCACTTACATCATTATCCAATAATCGTTTATGTGTCTGAGTTCATTAAGAGCCAAGAGTGTTTTTTATCTTTTACGCTTACCGGATATCTTAATTCTCCATCCACAGTTACTGTGTGTGGGTGAGTATAAAACAGTGAGCACTGGCCTCGCTGTGTAGGCAGAGGGAGACGTTGCCAGTGCTAGACGAAGGCCCCTGGGAGAGCAGGGACACCCACAGGCTCCAGCGTCCCTGAGAACTGACAAGAATTCTTTCTGGGGAAGTCCAGGGCACATCCAGGACGGAGTTCTGGAACACTGGGCTCTGGGTTTAGGGCCTCTGGCAGGAATATGGTCAGGGGACTCGGGCTGCTCCGTCCCCCGACCTTGGGAAGCTTCCCCTCCTGTCCCAGGAGCAGGGCAAAGCAGAACACCCGTGAGGGGGAAGTGAGCGTGGGCTGCCGGCCCACAGACCAGGGCGTGGCAGACGCGCGTCAGCGTGTGACCGAGGACAAACCCAGAGGCTGATCTGGGCCAGTTCCACTCAGACATCCACCCTCAGGGTAGAGAGATTGTGCCGCGGAGGCAGGCACCATGACGATGACAGCTCGTAGCAGGTCTGTCCCTTGAGTGACTCTGCTCTTGTTGGGACTGGCCACCGTCTGAGTCTGGGGGACGCCTGTGGCCCCGGGGTTCCCGTTGCTTCTCTCCCATGCTGGATCTCCTGCTTCCCAGGTCCTGTGTCTTCTTTTGTTGTTGTCTGTTACTGGTTCCCATTTACTCTGTCCGTGAACAGTGGCTTCTTGAGAAAGAGTACAGGAAAAGATAAATTTTTGACAAAGGATCTTTAAAAAGTCCTTGTTCTAGCCTCACACTTGGTTGATAGTCTGGCCAGCTGTAGAATTCTAGTTTGGAAATCATTTTCCTTCTGAATTTTTAAGGTTTTGCCCCATTGTCTTCTTCTAGTTTCCACAGTTGCTGTTGAAAAGTCTGTAGAATTCTAATACTTCCCATCTGTGTGTGTGGTCTACCTTTTGTCTTTGGAAGCTTGTGGAAATGTTTTGTTTTCCATGGTGTTCGAAGTATTAAAGGAATGTGCCTTGTTTGTGTCCACACTCAACACTGGGACGGGGCACTCTGTGAGCCGCGGTGATCCAGAAATGTCTTCCGTTCTGGCAAATTGCACTGAATTAGTTTCTTTGACGATTCCCTTCACTTAGCGTCTCTCTCCTCTTTCCCTCCCCTGCTTCTCTCTCTCTCTCTCAGCCTCTATTTATGCCGATGTTGCATCGTCTCTGGAGCTAGTTGACTTATGTCCCTATCTTTTCTCTTTTATTCTCCGTCGCTTTATTAGCTTGATTTACTTTCTTCAATTTTATTTTTGAACCCTAATATCATGACTTTTTTAAAAATTCTGCAATGTCTGTTTTTATTGGCATTCTGCTTTTGTTTCCTGGATGTATTAATATTTTCTCTTATCTCCCTGAGGAAATTAATGACAGTTTAAACATTTCTTTTCTTCTTACAGACTGTCTGTTCCCCTGAAATTGTTTTTGTTTGTTTGTTCTGGTCTCTAATCTTTTATTTTAGGGTTTTAGGGGCTTTTCTCAGATACCTGATAATCCTGAATTGTCTGCTCATGTTTAAGTGAAGGACTGAGACACTGCTATGAGGCTCTGTGGATCTGGTGGGGCTTGTTACCTGTGAGCTCCAGCGAGGGGATGCGGCTGGGCCGTTTGTGGGAGGACCCCGAAGGCACTGCCGCGTGGCTTTGGAGCTCTAAAGAGGAGCCGTTCTTTAGCCCAGAGAGTAAAACTGGCTGCGCCTTGTGCGCAGTGCGTCAGGGAAGAGAGCTGGGGGTTCCCGGCACCTGTGGTACATGCGCTCGCTCAGCACCCTGCGGTGTTGCTCTCGCACCCCGTGGTAGTTGAGTTTTGCCGAGGCGAGGGAGGGGCGTCCTCCTGCAGCCAGGAGTGGGGAGGATTAGGGACGCGACCGCCTGTCTGATGGGCGGCAGCATGTCTTCTCCTCTCAGCGTGTCCGTCCTCTCTGCCCCACGGGACCTGGCTTTGCAGCGCCTGGTCCGTCTGTGGGGTCGGTGGTCACACGAGGCTCGTTCTGGGCAGGGTCTGGCTGTTTGGAGTGGCCAAGTCCGGGACCCGTGACCTGCACCACAGCTGCTGAAATTCTGTTGCTGCGTCCACCACACCCATGTCTTCACCTCTGCAGTTTTATGTCTCTTAAAAATCCCTTTATAGAAGTGTCCATGGGTCTGGGGCGGAGTGACACGGATGCGCGTGTTCAGCCGTCATCTCACCCAGAAGCCCCGTCCTCTGTTACCGGGAATGACCCAGAGAATGGAAATCTTTCAGAGTCTTCCAAAGAGCCTGAAACTGATGTGTTTGTTTTTTTCTTATAATTCCCTGCAGAACTCAGGAAGCTCTGAAAAGCGGACAGTTTGTCAGCGTCCTTCACGTTCTGATGAAATTGCAGAGAATCTGTAACCATCCTGATCTCGTCAGTCCCAGACTGTCGGGATCTTCCTACGTGTCTGAGGCCCTGGAATTCAGAACCGCTTCCCGCATCCTCCAGGCCCTGGAGCACGGAGCGTGGAAGGTGACGGGAAAGGGGAGCAGAGCACAGAGTCGTGTCTGAGGCGTGCGTGGGCCTCCCGCTGTTCACAGCGACATCATCACTGTCTGGTGGCGGGAAACCTTCCTGCGGCTGAATGCGGTTGAGGGACCATGGACCAGCTTTGCTTGTCCTTGGTGCAGAGACGCGCTGCCCCAGGGTCTTCCCCAGGCAGCTTTCCCGTCCCGCCCCTCTGCCTCCCGCGTCCCCTGCTCTGTCCAGCTGTCCTTCCCCTTCTCTTCCCGACCGCAATGCTTCCCCCTGGCCGTGCATCTGGTCACCACCCCCCGTGTGTTACCCCAGCGCTCAGGTTCCTGGTAAAACCCTCCTGAGCAGGCTCGGCGTGAGTCCTGGGCCATCATCCTACTGCCCCGAACTGTATCAGGTTATTACAGGCTATGACAGAGTCCGTGTGTTCCTGAGTTTTCAGTGCTCTCTGAGTGGTAACTCCCTGCAGAGGCTTTACTCTCTGAAACCTGTTCAGGGTAAAGTGACGTCATCTTGGACTTCCGGCCGCCCTCTCGTGCGTCCAAGGAGTCGGGCGAGTCAGTCTTTGCCCTGCGGGTCATCCGCCGAGGCAGCCGTCCCCAACCTTTTTGGCACCAGGGGCTGGTTTCATGGAAGACAGTTTTTGTAGTGCTGAGGGGTTAGGGGCGGGCAGAGCTCGAGGGAGGCGGCGCTTATTAGTGATGCGAGCGATGGGGAGCACCGTAAATACAGGTGCCCGCCCGCTGCTCGCCTCCTGCCGTGCGGCCCGCTTCCTACGTTTCATGGAAGGCAGTTTTTCCACAGATGGGGGGTGGGGTGCCTGGCCCAGTTCCTAACAGGCCATGGACCAGTACCGGCCTGTAGCCTGGGGGTTGGGGACCGCAGCGCTAAGGGACTAGGCCTTCTAGGTCAAGGGGGACGTTCCAGGGAAGCCTGAATGTGTCACACGGTGGATTCTTTTCACGCCGGGATACCGACATGTCAGTATTTGATCTGGTTGGGGCAGAAAATAAAATGACACATTAAATACGAGGCCCAGGTGCTGCCCAGACAGAAGGTGACTCGGAAGCTCATCGAAGAAATCTACAACTCGCCCCCTCCGCAGTCACGACCCCGCCCAGTCAAGATCAAGCCCAGCCGGTGGGCAGGGGAAGGAGAGGCAGCCGGTCTGCGCGTGTGGGCGTTGACCATGTGCTTGCCGCCAGCTGGGACGCGCGGGCGTGGCCGTGGCGAGTGCTGTGGGCGCCTGTCGGTCTCTCCCTTGTGCCGTGGCGGCCCTGCAGGGAGTTCAGGACTTGACGCCGACCTTCGGGAAGGGGCAGTGGACAGCGTGCTGGGAGGCCCGTCTGTCATCGAACACGCTGCCGACTAGAGGATCCATTTCTAGGAGTGGGGCGATGGATGATTTGCCAAATCTCCCAGGAAAGGTCAGCATTCCCGGCCTCCCTCTGGCGCGAGCCCCTCTGCCTTCTGGTTGGCCTGTTTCCAGCCCCCCCTACACTCCCACGGCTCCTGCCCCCGGGACATCTGCTCCTCCCCAGGGCCCGGTGCGCTTTGCTCCATAAAGCTGTTTTCAACTCCTCTGCCTCCCCTTTGGTTCTTTCTCTCTCTCTCTCTGCTTCCTTCCTTCCTTCCTTCCTTCCTTCCTTCCTCTCTCTCTCTTTCTCTTTCTTTCTTTCTTTCTTAATTGTGTCAGTCAGGGTTCTTTGAAAATAGAAATCTGTGCCGGCTACCATAGGTTAAAAAGGGGAACACACTAGATGTCTCAGAGAATCACAGAAATGGTTGCACGCCCAGGTGCTAGGAAGAACGGCCGGCCCCCCGTGTGGTGGTCTCAGAGGCAAGATGTTATTCATGTGACGTCTCCCGTCCTTTGTCTTGGTGGATCCGTCCAGATCCAGATCCCGAGACACACCCCGCTGTGCCCCTTGGATCAGGAGGTGGATCGCGCGGTCGGCCTCGCCAAACCAGAACTCGTTTCCTTGTTGTCCAGAGCACAAGAGCCGGGCCTCTATGAAGGATCGTGGTCTCTGTGGTTACAAAGTGCTCTGTGAATCTCTTATTCCGTCTCGTCTGATCATCCGCGGTCTATTATCCGTGATTTGAAAGTCCTGAAATCTCTGAAAATGGCAAGTTGGTTTCCGTCCTCAACTCCTTTACAAAACTCGAGTTGTCCTGAGTTCACCCAGTGGGCAGATCCTGAGCTGACTGAGGCTGTCGCTGACCCTGTTCACTGAGAGGGGAAGTTTCGCCGCACGGCTGTCGCTGTGTTTTGTTGTGATGCTGCCCCGGCCTTACTGAGGGAGCTACGTGGCCGTGGTTCTCACATGAAATTACCTCTCTGAGACCCGAAGCTTCTGAATTCTGAAGCAGGGGTAGCCCACGGCCTGGGAGGGGACAGAGCCACCTGTCAACCATCGTCTTTGTGTTTACGTCCCCGCCACCACTTTGCCAGCCTTTCTGAGCCGTGTGTGAGGACGGTTAGTTGGGATAATGTGAATCTTTTTATTTTAAGGGTGTCTCACGTTGAAATGTGTTGATATGAAGGACATCGTTGGTCTTGATCTCACTTCAGTTACATTTTCTGTATTTAGTGGTTTAGTTTCTGCATGTTACTGTGCCAGCGTCGTCAAGGAGCCCTGGTTCCTTTCACTGCAGGGCGGTGTCGACGCCGCGTTGGGTGGTGGGCGTGGTGGGCGTGCTGATCGCTGCGTGTCCCCAGCAGGCGGAGCTGGGAAATCCTTGCGTGGATTAACCCCTGCATCCACACGTGCATGTTTACTTCTACTCCTGTATGTTTCAACCTCTGTGTATACATTAAAAACCACGATTTCATACCGATACCTCCAGTTTTTAAGCCAGTTTTCACACCGAGTGACAGGGTTCTTCTTGGCTTGTCCTTGTCACTGTTCCCTTGCTGGGGAGAGACTGGCTCCCGCGATCTGCGTGATCTGAGTGGTTCGACCGCCCTACGCAGATGTGGTTACCTGGACGTGCCCACACCCTGCAGGGACAGGTTTGCTGTTCCCTTCTGTCTCCAGCCTCATAGTGTCCGGTCAAAGCACCATTTGCCAAAATTGCGTAGGTGAGTGCTTTCTTCCCCGCCATGCGCAGTGTGGTCGATGTTACTCGTCTTTAGTACAAGTACGTTTTTGTTACTGTCGGTATTCCATTGTGCATTCCTCCCACACCTTGGCTGATGTTAATTATTGATTTTTTGGGGTGCGTGCATGGTGACGGGGCCTGAGTCAGAGCTGTATGAGGAGGTGTTCTCCGGGAAGCCAGCTGCTCCTCGCCCTGGCAACCCCATTTCTCTCTCTTTCCCTCCTCTCCCCACACACCGGAGGCCTCCCCCTACCTTCCTCCCTCCCGTCCTCCCTTGATATCTATTAAATTTTTTGTCATCTTATTGAGTTTTAAGTGTTCTTCATATATTATGAATATAAACCCTTTAACAGATATGTGTTTTGCAAATAAGTAAAAGCAAGAATAATATTGGTGACAGGTGAAAATTGTATGAAATTGAAATTTCAGTGTGGTCTGTGGCTGTGTGTGTGCCGCGGTGACAGGGCAGAGTGCGTGGGCCGGAGGCCCTGCCACTCGCAACACGTGCCAAGCCCTGGTTTGGAAAGATACTTGACCAGATGTGGAGAGCAGGCGTCTCTAGCGGTGGAGACGTGGTGTCTCTGTGTTTATTTTCTGTGCGGTTCTTGAAGCGTCCTGTGGTAATTGGTTGTTGCCAGTCGCTGTCCCGGTGAGGGAAAGTGCTCTGTCCTCAGCTTCCCTAGACCCGGCATCACCAGGTGCCAGTGACTGCTTGAACGCCAGGCGTGGAGGAAGGCGACAGCATCATAAATCCTATCCCGGGAAAGATTTCGCATGAATGTCAGTTATCAGCTGTATTTCACCGTTGAGTTATGCAGTTGATTTTCATAAATTTTGCACCCAACTCTTCTGTGCATCTCTTGACGCCGCCTTCCTTCCTTTTGGTTCAGGCTTCGGGTTTTGTTGTGACGCCCTTAACACCGTAGCTCCACGCACCGTCCTCGCCACTCTCTGTCCCGGGGGCTTCCTCTTGTCCACACACGTGCAGCTGCTGTCCATGACAGTCTCGCCCTCGCTGGGCTGTCCTCGTGGTGCCGCCTGGCCCTGGAGAGGCCCTTCCTGTGACACATCCAGTCTCAGGAGACTGGCCGCCCCCTACAGAGCTATCTAGAAGGAAAGTACCAAGTTCTCTTAATCTCAGCCCAACTCAGTGTGCAACTTGAGATCAGAACCCTCCACCGTCTGCATCTGAACTTTCCTTCCCATGTAGCATGAAGATTGAGTGAAGCAGTTCCAGGCCCCGTGTCGTCCGTGTGCCTCGCCGAGTGTCTGTGGCCGGTGTTGACTGTGTCGTGAGAAGCGTCAGATGTCCCGGCGCTAGAGCAGGAATGGCGCGGCCCTTCCCTAAGCCGCGTGAACCTGCGCACTTCCCTCACTGTCGAGTGCTGTTGTCACGACGCACATTTCAGGTGTTTCTTTATTAAAACTGATTCCCAGGTTGTTCCAGCCTGTGCCTTATGGACAGAAGCCAGAGGGCAAGATGGTCGTTTTCCCGAGTGTCCAGGCACCGTGTCCTGTGACCGCAGCCACGGCGGCCCAACCAGGACAGACACGCGGTGTAAGAACCGATTCCCCTCGGCCCCAGGAACAGAGAAGCAGAGTCACCGAGGATGCAAATGGCAAAGGAGTTTATTTGCTAGCTCGAGCTAGGGTCCAAGTCCCAGAGCACCAACGCAGTGGCCTCCCTATGAACCAGGACCCCGCCCCAGGGTAAAAGTGAAGCTTTTATACTTCCGGTTGCGCACGACACACCGGTGGTATACGACACGCTGAGCCCACCATCCCCTTTCCCCCTTCGTCCATTGGTTCCTTTAAAAGTGGAGGATTGTTTTGACCCCCGATTGGGTGGTCCCAAGCCTCAGGGTTTTCAATTTTCGCGCCAATTCTGATCTGCGTTTGGGGAGGGGGACTGAGACTTAGGCCTACTCTAGGAAGTTCAGCCTGTCATGGAGTTACTCTCGCCCTGTTTTTTTTT